GGTTTTCTCTTTATTGCTCGTGTACGCTTCTTCATCGCACAGCAGGTTCATCTCACCTTCTCAAGTTTCAAGCAGTTGTAGCTTCACAGACACTCTTAAAGAAGATGTTTGTGATTTGACCACCAGCACTCACAAAGTTTCATAGTAACAGAAATCAGTTATGAAGGGAAAGGCAGATGAAAGGAGAGGACGCAGTTCAGAGAGCAACTTTAAAGCCTCGATAACAAGTCGGAAAAGCTGAGCAACATCCTGCAGAGCCCAGATCTTTTTAGATGCAAGTGCTGTGTGTTATTAATTTCCTTTTTCTTATTTTTTATTTTTTCTTTCGTGCATGTTTGTAACCGTAATGGTAACAGTTAAAGGAAAGCTGCTGCGTCTCTGTGTGTTAACAGCCAGCATGTCCGCGATCTGAAATTGATGTTCTGGACATATGCCATCGCACAGCTCCAAATCTGAGCCGTGTGTGCGATCGATGCGCCGTGCAGCTACCGTGATGCGAAATTCCAGTTCGAGATCCAGTGAGAATATTCCTGCTGGGATCGCGAGTTCTTTCTGCATCCGTGTTGTTAAACATCAGCGCCACAGTCACATGTTCCCTGTGCTCGCCATTATTCTTGGTCAGAACTGAGATCATAGTCGTTTAACTTGACTGCTCACTTCAGCAACGACATAAATTTCAGCCCAGTTAAACCAGTGGATGTGTTAAAGTTGTGGGTTTTTGTTTTGTGGTGTTTTGGTCAGGAGGCATGCCCAGAGTAGGGAATGTTTTTGTGCAGAAAAATCAACAGGCGATCATTAATAATCCTTTTCCAACATGGATTCTCCTTTGGAAACAATGTTAAAGCTTTTGCTAACCTCTAGATGACTATTGTTGAACAAAGGCTCTCTTTCCCTCATCTCCACGGTGAGTGAGTTTGGGCTTTTAGGGGGGAAAGGGCTGAAAGGGATTAATGACACAAGACAGATTGAGCACATAAGCATTTTTTTCTATTTTCTCATTTTCATAGTCATTGGGAGTCATTAAAATCATGATTTCATTAATCTACTAATCACTAAGTGACAGTATCTGCCTGTGATCTCATGATGGATGTTTCCTTCAGGGCCTGAAAGCATGTTTTTTCAATCAGACTCCAGCTGCGAGCAGTGGGGGTGCACATACAGACAAATAATTTGAACAGTTGTTTTACATGAGAGCTTTCTTTAACTGGGTGTGGCTCCCTTGGAGGAAAAAAGTGATGTCAGCTGCTTTCGTTTGAATCAGAACGTGACCACACCGCTCCCACTCGGTTGTGTTGAAGCAGATGCGAGTCTTTGGGTGTCACATTTCTAATATATAAATTATAAATCTTGTATTTTTAGCTTTGATTCTGTTGCTTATTCACTTGTGAATATTTAATGTTTGGCAAGTTTCTTTTATTTATTTATCCTCTTTGAAAGATTCGCTTATCAAACTGCTAACCTTTGAGGCACAGGCCAAATACTTAAATCTGGGAATTGGCTGCTAAATTTCTAAGCATTTCACCAGCTCTTTAAACGGTTGAGATACTGCAAACGGAGCTTTATTTAGCCTCCTGTATCAACACCTCACAACCTTCTCCAGCTTTACTCAGATCCGCCTTCATCCCAGTGTTTTATATCGCCTGTCCACGCTGAACTGCGGCTGAAGTGAGAAAGCCAGTGTGGGTTTGCAGTCCAGATGGAGAGTTTGAGTAGGAAGAAGGGGAAGTATGGGAGACGGGAGGAGGAGGCGGCTATGGCGGGGAGAACGAGAGGAAGATGAGAGGAGGTAGAAAGATGAATGATGACATGACGTGAGGAGAAAGGTTGAGTATGGCATTAAAGCTAAGTAAGATCAGTCGGAGAGTTTGGGTGCATTTTTAATTCTTATTTTTTTGCTGCATTGCTGGCTGAGGTAGAGAAGAATGACAAGTATGTGGGACATTTTCCAGAGCTCTGGTTTAGTAGATTCAGCTACTCAGAGCTGGCAAGAAAGAGAGCGAGCAGGGCGGCTGAAGTAGAGGCAGAAAGAAAAGAAAGAAAAAGGAGGGAGAGCAGACAGAAATGCAAGCGCACACAACCTATAACGTTTTTATATACATCTCTGTGCATGCGTGCGTGTGTGTAGGTGATGAATGGGCGGACTTTCCCTGTTTTTTCCTTTTCTGCTCTCCTCTATCTCAAACACACACACGTCAGGATAAGGCGAAGGGTGGAGCGGGTCATGGTTAAAGTCATTGTTGTTCTGGCCAACAGACTTCCTGTTTCAAGCAGCTATGACGCCCATCGCCACAACACAGCTGTGTCCAAACTGGACGGGAATACACACACACACACAAACGGCTCATTCATATTTAATCATGCACAGCAACTAATACCTGTAGAACACTTAGTCATTTCGTGTACACACACACATAATTACACACACTGATTAGCACTTCTGCACAAAAAAGAATCCTATAAACACACAGATATGGAAGTACACGCACAAACGCACACGTGCGTGCTGGCACGGACGACTTGTAGTTTGATGCCATATATAAACCAGATGAGCAGAAACCTGTAAAGCCTTTGATTATGACCAACTGCAGCTCAACAACTTCCAGTCCAGCTACAACAGCAAGTCTGTAAACGTCTCCAGCACATCATAAATCCGGGTGTAAGGATTTCAAAGCTTTAGACTTCAACAAATCATGTCCTGAATGGTAATTCTTCTTCTCGAGATTTATTTTTCATCATAAATTTAAAAGCCTGAAGAAAATTCACTCTTTAGTTCCACATTTTATCACGTTAAAAAAACATTACTTAGCAGAATGCGGATATCTGAAGATAACCTTTGATTATTCTTAGTGAATCTAATAGAAAAACTTTGAA